AGCTTCTCAGGATTTTTTGGTTAATAGCTCATGTAATATTAATGATTATGATAGTTTGATATTGTGTAATAAAATGTGCCAACATTTTTAAGATTTGCAAAACCAGCATTTTCCCAGTTGACCCAATCCATGATATTACAAAATCTTACACGGGTAAATGATCCCTTCAAAGCATGAGCAGGCTGGGGGGTAACTCACTGGTAGAGTGCCAGCCCATTTAATGTGCGTAGTGCCTTGGGTTAATTCTCCAGCACAAAACAGAACAAAACCCATAAAACAGATCATTGGATTTTACAGGACCAGAGTACAGAAAGTTAATTGGTACACATTAAAGTCAGCGCTGGAATTTACCTTTAAGAAATTGCTGTTTGTCAGGCGTTGGTGAGGTGTAAGAAAATAGCCAGAGTTAGCTGAAAAGGGTCCTCATTTCTTAGGTTTATAGTTCTGTGGTTCTGCCAGACTGCATCCCGGGGCCAGGGCCGGGGCTGGGACTGGGACTGTAGCTCAGAGGCACAGTGAGTTCTGTCCCCAGCCCTGACAAACCCAGAAACATGCCTCAGCAGATTGAATGTAGGGGTACCTGAGTAAACTGCAGAGGTAAATGAGTTGACTCACTTGAAGCTAGCTTGGATGCAGGTATATTTTAAATGTTATGGCCTAGAAACACCAACTTGGCAGATAGATGCTCTGTTCACAATATGCTGGTGTTTGGAAATAAGGAGGGAATTGTGGTAGCTCAGGAAAATTAACCAGAAAGAAATTGAAAAAGTAACCAGGCATTGTGGCACCCACTTTCAGTCCTAGGACTTGGGAGGCAGCAGCAGGCAGATCTCTTTGAGTTTGAGTCCAGTGAGTTCCAGAACAGCCGGGGCTACACAGAGAAACCCTGTGTCAAAACCAAACCAACAAACAAATTTAAAAATGCTTATAGTAGTAGTCAGAGAAGACAAGAAGCTAAAATGCAGGCCGTGGGTAAGAAGTGGCTGAGTTTAGGGAAAGGGGTGTAATGTCTGGTCCAGGGCCCATCTCACGTAACACAGTTGATTACCAAACATTGGGAACTTCAGCTGTTCAAGGTCATCTAGAGAGTGAATGTCCAAGAGTTTGTCCAAGTGACCAGTGCACTGCGGAGTTCAAGGAAGATTGGGGGTGAGGCGGGCGGTCTCCTCTCTATGGAATGACCACCAAGGACCTTGAAGGATCCCCAAATCAGAAAGGATTTAAATATGTAACTTAATAATGGACCTCACAAGTTTGGAAAACAGGAGCAAAACAAAAACCCCAAACCAGCAGACAGGAAGGAATCATAGATCAGGGCAGAAATCAGTGCAACAGAAGCCTGAAAGACAAGACTCACTGAGACGGAGAGTTGGTTCTTTTAAAGACAGGCAAGATTGACAAACCCTTAGCCTGGTTACCCAAAGGATGGAGGGAGAAAATCCCATTTAGAGATGAAACTGGCAAATCCCACAGCAGGCATCGCACAGTGTCTGGAGTGAGGGAGATGAACTGGGAAACAGTGAGCATGGGCCTGAGAGAGAACCTTTGCTATGAACAGGAAGGGGAGAGAGCTTTTCTTTTGGAATAGTGCGTTTAGAAGAAGCTGTCTGGGCCGAAAATGATAGATAACCTGTTACATTTTGGGGGGAAGAGATCTGCAAGCACCCTGGGAAACAACGTGAACGTGTGAAACCAAAAAGAGCAACAATGCTAGAGGAGGGCCTAACCTCGGTGGCGAAGCTAGTGGAGGCGCTAACCATCTGGTGGTGTCTGAGGCTTTTCTCGCATGGTGCTGGTTTTGAGGTTCAGGAAGTGGGTATGGCCGCTTCAGTGATCAGGAAATTGAAGTTCTGAGAGAGGCTCATTGCCAGAAGAGCTCACTAATAGCGTTAGCTCAGAGGGCTCCATCTGGCTTCTGAAGTGTCAGGGAAGGGCAGAAGAGGCCGGGGAAGGGGAGAAGAGGCCGGGGAAGGGCGCCGATGGTGGAAGTGATGGTGGTCATCACGGCGTATGGACCGCTCTTTGATGTTCGTGCCTCAACTGCAGTACTCTGTGTGCAGAGAGCTGGAAGAGGCCGAAGGGAGGAGACCTGTGAACTCCCTTTTAGCTTTCTGCTTGGGCCGACTTTCCACCATGAGGATTCCATAGGGGGCGTTATTGATTAGAGCGTCAGTGTCCATTCGCCCTGTGGCTTACACGAGGCCAGTTCCCTCGGTCGCAGATATGTTCGCGTGTGTTCATAGCGGAGCAGTGGCGTGTGGCTCTGCAGACACCTCTCCCCTCCCAGAATGGCACTGTCCGTCTTCACTCGGGAGTCCTTCTGCCAGAGGGCGGGTTCAGTTAGAGCTGAGGAAAACAATACACGGCTTAGTGAACACGAGGAGTTCAGTCTGAAGTGGACCTTCTGAGGAGACGGTCACTAAGGTGACGTTTAGAAAAAATATAGCCCCCCCCCCAAAACAAACAAACAAACAAACAATTGGGAAGCCTCTGGAAGGAAGACAGTTTTGGTGACTTTATGAATGCAAAATGAAATAAAGAATGCATGTCTCCTCATCCTCAATCAAAGTTTTAGAGCTTTGGCACTAGCCACGCCCAGGTGAACAGTTCAGGCACCAGCTCATTGTGAATTGTAGTGTCTCTCTTCAGCTCAGCCATTAAGCTTGGAATTGCCACAGTCCCCCAGCTCATTTGAGCATGGAGATTTGAATGGCTAGTTTTGCTAGGGGGTTGGGGGCTTGCTTTTCACTTTTTGAGATAAATATCTTGCTGTGTTTGTTGGCTGTACATCTTGCACTTGACATGTAGTCCAGGCTGGTCTCAAACCTACTACAAGAGTCCTCCCTCAGCTTGAGTGCTGGGATTACTATGTTATATTATATATTATAGACTTTCATTGCCATGATTGGCTACTTCTCTCCCCCCCCCCTCCCCTTTCCCCTTTCTGTGAGAACATGGGGTATCTATCTGCAGGCTCAGTGTAGAGGTCACAGTGACTGTGCCATGGATCAGTAATGCCCCTCTTCTGTATACAGGTCCTGCCCAGGGTCCAGAACTTTCAAGTGAAGCCCAAGGGAGCCACGGGCTGTGTTTGTCCACAGGATAAATGTTGTAGCAGCCGAGCCTGCGTGTACAGCTGCTTTTGGCCTCTCTACCTGGTGCCAACTGGGTGGAGTTTCTGGCCCTTTCCCCAGAGTGTTTCTGGTTGAACCAGAAGCTAGAGTCTCTGGGGCTGGGATGTAGTCACAGCGGTGCAGCACTTTGGAGATTGTTTCAAAGAGAGAGAGGGGTGTGGTGTAGAAAAGCCCCAAGATCTGCCCCTCACCCACTTACTCCCCGACCCCAGTCATCTTTCGACCTAGAGCTGCCTCAGGCCTGAGGTACACTGCAGAAGGGTGAGGCCTGGCGGATGAAGGAGGGGTCTGTAGGACCTGTCCTCCGGATTCAGTTTTTGGGTGTGCCTGGGTCGTGTTGATTTGAAGGTTTCCACCTTCCTTCCCAAGTGCCATCTCCCTTAAGAATCTGTCTGTGGTGTGAAGTCTCTAGCGGGAGGGACTTTTTCTAGGGTTGAGTTAGGGGTGTGGTTCACCTGCCCTGGGCTGGTTCCCTTCCCCTCTGTTGGCACGGGGCCATGGATATTATGAGTTTAACCCAATTTATCTGGAAACAGCAGGGCTCTAAACACAGAACAGTCTTATCACCGTGGCTCTAGAGTGATGCCCTGAACATGAGGTTTTTGAGAGCAAGTGGTGGGTGCTTTTTCTTTACATGAGGCTGTCGCCAGCCTGCTTTCTCTCACAACTGCCATTCTGGGTGCATGACGTAGAAAGACTGCTCTGGAACCGAGGGTAATCCATATGATTTTCACCAAAGTTTTGCTCATTACATTTTGCAGTTGCTTACCAAGTTAGAACTGAACATGGTGGCGGTGATGTGAGCTCATAGCATCGCTCATTTATTACATTTTCCTCCACCTACCGTCTGTAGAATCTATCTGTGGGGAAACTAGGTGCACACACGTGTAGATCCAGATGTCTTGACAAGTTGAAGAGCAGACGAAACATGGAGTAATTGTCTTGAAAGTCACATTGTTCTTGAGTTCCAGCTTCAGTAAGCACAGTTAGCTTTTGAATGTGATCTCATCGCAGTGGATGCTCTAAAGTATGAGAGAGGTGTTAGAATAATGTCCATATTTTACTTTGTCAGCCATACTTGACAAAAGCTAAGTGCCCTTGGGCTTTGGGGCTCGAGATTAGGCTCCAGTTTAGCATTTAAGTAAATTCCAACATGGACGGTCCCTTCAGGACAGAAAGCCAGATGACTGACCTTGGAATCACCATGCTTGCCAGCATTATTGCTGAGAATGTTTTTCGTGTGGCATGGGCAGCGGTACTTTGGATCCTGCCTCCTGGCTTTTTCCCCTGGTCTTGGATTCAATGTGGATTCTTGTGATTAGCACTTGAGTCGGAACCGGGCTTTGACTCCCATTGCTATGGGATCTATACAGCAAGTTTCCTACCAAGTGCTCCTGCCCTTGTCTTGTTGAACGAGAGCTTGGGTTCTAGTTTATCCCAGCATCTAAATAATGTGGGTCTTTGCAGCATGCCATTGGGGTTTGAATGCTGACCTGCTGTGACATTGGATGTAGTGCTCTTTGAGGGTGTGATGAAGTAGAAGTCCTTTCTTACCCAGAGAGGTGTCTGAGGTACCCATTCTTCACATGATACTGGAATTGCTGTCAGATAATGACACGGGGAATCTTACTTTTCAGGTCCAGTCTCTCACCCTTTGCACTTGGTGTTTCTCTGTCCTGTTTTTTCAACCTGTCGTGGCCTCTTAATTAGAATGTACTGCTAGAGGACAGGCACTGTCGCCAAACTTGATACATTTTATAAGGATGCACAAACGCGCCAGACAAGCAGCTGGAGTGCGAACTTGTCCAGATGCGATGCTGAAACTCCCCAGAGGGGCGCCTTCATTGTTTTCTTTCTTTGTTCCAGAAGCAAAGGCCAATAATGAACCGAGCTGTTCGCCAGCGGCTCAAGAACTGTTGACAAGGCTGGGATTTTTACTGGGAGAAGGGATCCCAAGTGCCACACACATAACTATTGAAGACAAAAATGAAACCATGGTAATGCTGGAAGAAGACGCTGCATTTCCTACCTGCTCAGAGGATGAATGAGGCCATAGTACACACCCTACCAGTGTGTGTGTGTGGGGGTGTGGGGTGTGGGGGGGGCAGGGCATGTTATCGTTTGGTCAGATGAGTTCTGGGCTCTTGTGTTTTGAAATTTATTGCAACAGTTTGTTTCTGGGTCTTTGCAGGGGTGGTGGTGGAAGTAGTTAAGGACAAACAGGAGAGGTCAGAACTTAAGAAAATGTCCATATTAACCTTCTCGCCACTACCCGGAGAATATGGGCTACATGATTTAAGGTGGCTGAAAGAGTTGTTTTGTAGTGATGCTCCTTCAGTCTTGACAGGACCATTCCTCAGTTGACTGCTTTGGTCTGTGCTTGCCTGTGCTCTCCCAGCTGTTGGGATTGGGGGTTGGGATGAGTCGGGGGGGGGGGGGGGGGATGTATAGGAGATGAGGTAGAGACAAAATGAGGGGAAACCACATGGCTCATCCTCTGGGGAGGCGCTCTCTGTCTGAGGGAGCACAGCCTCCTGCCACCTCTGAGTGTGCGAATCGCAGTGAGGGCCGGAGCGTCTGCCTCCTTCTGGGGTCTCTGAGGAGGCACGCATTGGGGAGGCGTTGAGACTACAGTGGTTACCAGTCTCTTTCCCTGAACACAGAACCCATAAATCTTCAGGAATAGAAGCCATGCCGGTCCCCAGGTTTTCCGTACAGAGGTCACATAACCCATCCGTCTTCTGCAGACTTTAAATGAAAGGAAGTCTGCTTGTTGGCCATCTCTGTTTTATGAATTCGTGTTCCCACTGAAGAATTGCTAAGACTGCCCTCTTGGTAAAAATCAAACCCTCAAAGGAGGCAAGCAGAACAAAAACACGTCTCTTTGAGCATTTGGAAAACCGTGTCCATCCCTGTTTAGCTTTCTAGAGGTTAAAACGTGCCTCCATTCGTCTTGTGCTTGGTTTCATCGTGTTAGCACCCAGAATAAAAACATGTGTCGAAGCATGCCGGGGGAGCCACATTAACTCTGCTTCCGTTCGCCTTGCAGTGCACAGCCCTGAGCCAAGGCATCAGCCCTTGCTCCACGCTGACAAGCAGCACCGCCTCCCCCAGCACCGAGAGCCCCTGCTCAACCCTGAATAGCTGTGTCAGCAAGACGGCCGCCGACAAAAGTCCCTGCGAGACCATTAGCAGCCCCAGCTCCACCCTGGAAAGCAAGGACAGTGGAATTATAGGTAAGAAGCTCCCCGCTTGGTAACTTAATGGCTCGATGCACGTGGGCCCGAGCGCTCACAGGCACCTCAGGAGAGGGATTCAGTGGGGTCTGTGAAGGTCATCTGCAGACCCCGCCCTGTTCTTGCAGACAGCTCGGGGCAGGGTTGTGTGCAGCCAAGAGAATGAAGATCAGCTTTTATATTCCTTGATGTTTATTTTATATTGCTGGGCTCGTGTGGTTTTTAAAAAAAAAAACAACAAAACAAAAAAAAAAAACAAAAAAGAAAACCCAAACAAAGAAAAACACCTTATCAGGACTGGCCTGTGAAAACCCTCACACCTCCCTGGTCAGTTTATTCCTTGGGCATCAGGTCCCCTCAGGACACCACAGCAGGGTAATGAAATCTCTGTGTATGAGGCAGTTTTCATGGCCCAAGCTCACTGCTTTTCCCCTCTGGTGACCTGTATGGTCTGTGTTCTCTAAGGCTTGCTTCTCATAGGACCTGGCCACTGTTTTGAGGCCAGGGTTTTCTAAGGAAGCCTTCCCTGAGCCTCATGTGATACACGTGGTCCTGCTGAGGTGGGTGTGAGGAGACCTAAGTTCTAGGTGGCTTGAGCAACATTGAATCGCACACATCATGGTCTAGAAAATCAAGGGTTTTGGTTAATTCATTAGTCTGCAGACCTGTGGGATATTAGAATCCAGTGGCCCTAAGAGCCCCTGTGTCCGTATCCCAGCTCAGACAGATGGCTGTGTGATGCTGCAGGAGTGACTGACAGAGGTCCCCAGCTTGCTGGCTTTCTGACAGTGACCGTGCAGATGGGTAGGACCCAAAGGCATGACTCAGGCACTCTGCTCTGTGATTGTGTTGATTTCACAGTGGGTCTCTCCTGAGCAGTTGGCAGCCCCCCCTTTGCTGGTCTGTGCCCAGTCTTTGAAGGACATGCACATTCGTATGTAGTCAAATAGACCTCTGAGCTCCATGTTCTCGAGTCTCCAATCACCTGCAGTTTCATCCAAGTATGAGTTAAAAACCAAATCTTGAATTCATCCAGCTTAGACTTTGAAGATGCCCCGAGAGAGTACTGGGGCAGGGTAGGATGCGGGTTCACTGTAGAGCTCTCCTCATCTTGGGTAGGACTCAGCTTCAGCAAGGAAGTATCTTTTACTAATGTTGGTGGGATCCGACTCTTACGGATTTGTTTTATGTTGTACTCATTGCAGTATCAAAATGTAGTTTACATACCGTAGTATTCACTCAAGCTAACTTCTGGTATGTTCAAAATTATGTACCTGTCGTCATAAGCTGATCTCAGAACATGGTCACCACCCCCTCCAGAGACATTGTACCAGTTTGAAATCACCGTTTCCCCAGGACCTCCAGGCCTAGTCAGCTAGTAGGCTACTTCTGTCTGTGGTTGAGCCGACTTTGGACATTTTGGATGAGTGGAGGATTTGTCACAAATCCTTTTCGTTTAACTTCAAGGCCTTCCACTGAGCTGACCCAGCCAGTTGGCATTCTCGTCGACTTCTGCTGCTCATGAATTCACTTCAATGAACTGTTGGTGCATTCCTGCTTTTCTTGGGCTCCGTTTCTGCGTTCTCCACCATACATAGCTGTACCTTTGATGTGAATTCGGTGGTAGCCACATGACTTTCCTAGCTCAGTAGTCACGTCCTTCTGAGAGTTTAATCTTCCTTCAAGGTTTTGCTACCTTTTTTTTTTTTTGAACAGGCTTCTTATTTTTATTGTTAGTTCTAGAACTGGTATTACATGCCTCTTGATTTTAAATATGCCATTGAAGGGGGGCGGGGATCAAACATTCCCAAGTATTTTCAGTCACAGAATCAACCATCTATTATTTGTTCTCTCTCACTCAGGTGCAGTGCTGAAATTTTGAATTTGCTTTGCAATTCTAGGGATCAGACCAAGGCTTTGTACCTGTGGACCAAGTGAAATAGAACCAAGCTACACCCCCAGCCCCTGCATGTATTTATACAAAAAAGCAAAAGCCCTGGCCTAGCTGTCTGTATTGCCAGCCAAAGATTAAGCTGCCGGGAGGCTTTTAACTAACACTCGATTTAATATAATCTTCCCCAATCAGACTCCATATTATATGCTCCCACGGCACCGCGGTGATTTCCCTCAGTGTGCTTGTTAGTTAATTATGACTCCATATGGATCAGGGTCTTGTTTTTCCAACTCTGTTCTGGGTTCTTAGCCGGGTGCTGGGAATAAGAAATTAAGGAATTGCTGTTACTATCCAGTTGCACACAAGCAGGGAACATCTAGTTGGTCTACAAACAACTATTCAGGATTCCTATTTCGAGTTGGTTCGTTACATACCACAGTGTATAATACCACAGTGTCTTAAGCTCTGCTTTGCTTGAAAAAAAAAAAAAAAAAAGTAGAACCTTTTATGTCATCGATACTGCCTTGTGCTCCTTGGCTCCTTGGCTCAAACCAACATGTTCCCTTACCTTGGCTAAACATGAAGAGCTGAAAATATTGATGGGAAGGTGGGCAAAGCGAGAGAAAGGGGTTCACAATCTTTTACGGGAGATGGGAGACCCTAGCTCCTGGGGCCAGGCTTGCCCTGCACAGTACAAGACCCTAAGGGAAGCACTTGCTGGGGACAACGTGCCTCTGTTCTCTCCCGTCTGTGACCCGTGGAACCAAAGTCTGTTGCCAGGGTGTGGTAGGGAGGAGAAGGAAAAGAAGCAAGAATTTCCTCCCCGGGCTGAGTTGAGCTGCAGGTGTTTGCAGAGGTCGGAGCGGTGGGGCCAGAGGGGAAGAGCTTCCTCCGCTGCCGCGATCGGTGCGGCAGGGGTGCAGCTGCCAAGGCCTCTGAGCTGACAGGTAACGGTGTTGTGCTTCGGGTTCTGCCATGGCTGGGGTGGGGTGTGCTCTCTGGCCATCTGAAGAGCTTGCCGACGTTATGAACTGCAGCCTGTGATCACAGCCTTTGGGCATCATAGATGTTTAAGAGAGTAAGATACCCAAGAATACCCGGATGTTAGTGGGCAGAAATGCAGGTAAAAACCTGGTTCCCCCATTGGAAGGCCTGGCCGCAGCTTTGTCGAATGAGTTGGTAAGGAGCTGTGTTCCAAATTACGCGAGTCCTGGAGGAAAGAGGAACCAGCTTTCCTTTAACTTTCCATTTTGAGTAAGGTAAGCCTTAGGAACCAGGGCAGCCAGCGTTGGACGGTGGGGCCATGCGATGGGGTGGGCAGGGTAGGGCTGCCTCGGTACTGCGTGCTTGGGGCAGCAGAAGGCTCAAAGCACAGTTGACTCGGGGCATTGCGGGACGTTCCAGACAGTGCCAAGCTATCCTTGAGAATTCCTCAGCCTCCTCCCACTGTTAGGCTGATTTCCAGCTCGCTGGTTGCATTTAACCTAAATCACTCTCTGCCCAGCCGATGCAGGGAGAGGAAGCCTCGGCTGCCACATGCCCGGGCAGCTTCCTCAGGGCTGCCACAGGTACCCCGTTTACATTGGGTTTCCACTGTTTTGCAAGGGGCCAGTGACCCATTAGAACTGATAGGGCACCCTTCCAGTCTTGCTCTGGGAGACCGAGGCTTAATGGACTCTGCCGCCCCCTTTTCAGCTCCGTCATGTCCTTCAGAAGGGAGCCCCACTTTATCCTATTTCAAGAGGTTCGTATTCTCCCAACATGAAAGTCTTTAGAAGGCAGTGGTTCAGTCATGTAGAAATACTGGCTGAGCGGATGGGATTAGCTGCATTTTCTATGAATGTCTTTAATTTTTTTTTTTTTTTTTAAGTAAAGTTCCTTACTTCTTACTTATTTTGGAAGCATTGGCAGTACCTGGATGTTAGTGTCTGGTTTCCAAATTTGCAGTGTGAAAACCTGCCAAACGTGAACCCCAGCTGTACCTCCCTAGCCACAGTAAAACAGCTTGTAGTCACTTGCTTTGGAAAGAAAGGCATTTATAGAGGAACAGTCTTCAAAGGTGTTCCCTCTATGCCTGAGAAAACTGTTTTCTCAGGGACACTCCTTTTAGTGGCTTCCAGCTGTTAAAATGGAATTGTAATCTGTATTAATCCCAGCTTAGGGGGAAATGACCTATATGTATTCATTGGAATATATGTGGAAACTAATCTGACCTTCAAAAATTGCTAGAAGTACTGTGTTTTAAGGCATGTTCTGAATTGAATGTGTTTAATTTTTCTGTCCAGATGATGATAAATATTTTTCCACTTAGGAAGACAGAGGGTAGACTCATTGAGGAGACACACAAACTCACCCTGGCTCTTCTACTGAGATTTCCTTTATATACATATATATGTGCATGCATGCCGGGTGTGTGTGTGTGTACATACTACACCATTGGTGCGGGTGTCAGAAGACAGCCTGATGGACTCACCCTCCTCCTCCTGTCTTTATGGGGGCTCCCAGGACTGAACTCATGCTGCCAGGTTTGTGTAGCACGTGAGCTGTCTCACTTGCCCCAAGATTAAAAAACAACAACCACCACCCACTACATTTTAAAGATTCTTCCTCTTTATTAATAGTTGCTGTACCAAGACGGATTTCAAGGTCGCAATTAGAGACACTCCTCCTTCACTGTCTGCTTTGGCCTGTCCAGGTTTTTACCTGAGTATTCCGCAGCATCCGGCACCTCCTCCTCCTGAAAGGTGGTGTTGGGAAAGCCCCAGGAAGGCTGGAGGGCTCTGTTCCCTTACTCTGTGTCTCTCCCAGGTCATGTGTCACCTGCCTGACCCCCCCTCCGCACCCCGCCTTCCCCAGCTGGACCACGGGAGTCCGCATTCCAGGCGATGTGGCTGTGGGCAGTGAATGCTGATTTTAGCTCCTTGGGTGCCTCCCTCCCTCTGCTGCTCTGGGGTGCTGATCTTTAGTCCCCTCTGTTCGGTTAGAAGTAGGGAGCAAGTGTAAGCTTTGAGGGGAACATCTACGTGGAAACATTTCTCTTGCAAGAGTGGCTCGTGCTAAGCTGTGGGGCCCTTGGGCCATACCCTGCCGCCACCTGATGGGATGT